TGTGTCATATCAATGTTTCTGAAGTGACATAGTTCTGATTACATGTATATGAGCTGATTTTGTCATCCAGAGGTGGAGGGGATGGTGGATAGCTCGACACCTCAGTAAGATGCCCGCGAAGCTGCAGAGTACTGGTCGAGACCAGCAAACAATAAAGCCCAGTGTTTATAGCAACCCATCGCTGTGTTTCCATTGGCTTTTCATCCACTAAGCATGGGTGTTTTTTTAGCAACCTGTGGCTGTGTCTCCATTGTTCCAAGAAAGGCAGTTGATTGTTTTGTTTCCAGGCAAGCTACTGCCAAGAAAAGCTGCTGTTTTTACAGAGACATTGCTGTGTTTCTTGCGGAGATAGTGCCACAAAAGCGGTTGTTTTTTGGCGACCAATGGCTGTGTTTCCACTGGGGATAGTGCCACAAAAAGCAGTTGTTTTTTTAGCGACCCACTGCTGTGTTTCCATTGGCTTATTAGCTACCAAATGTCAGTGTTTTTTGGCAACCCATGGCTGTGCCAAGAAAGGTGTTGTTTTACCAAGACATCACTGCATTTCCTGCCAGGATAGTGCCAAAAAAGCTGCTGTTTTTTTTTGTTGTTGTTGTTTATTTACCAAGGCACCCCTGTGCTTCCACTGTGTGTAGATTGTGCCACAAAAAACAAGTATTTTCAGTCAAAACAGATTCTTTTCCTTACCTTAACCAAGTGGTTCTTAAACCTAGACACACATTAACCACAGTGCTGTTGAAACAGACAGAATATCCAACATATCCACTGAACAGTATCGTACATTTGTAATGTATCAGTGGTTTAGCAGAAATGTACAATGCCAACATTTATTCTGGTGATCGCATTGCAGATAAGGTAGCACATTGGTTGTGGCACCTATAGGCAGTGCAGGGGAAAAAGCACACGGCTAATGATACTGTTTATAAATAGACTTGCAAGAAAGGTTTCACTGACCCAGCAACAAGCTTGGGACAATTCTACCCCACTTTTTCTGAGGTCAGACTGACATGAAGCCAGAGGGAATGGCTTGAAGAAAGAAAAAGTCAGCATGCCAATGATGTGTGGAGGTTTAGCTGCTGCCTCTCTATTATTATTTTGTTTTCCAATGGTCCAAAAAAAAAAAACAAAAAAAAAAACAGCAACCTGCTTCATGTCTCAAGGGAACATATGGTCTCTTACTCAGCCCAAAGAGTAGCAGGAGGGTAATGACACTGAGAATGGTACGCAAGCGCCTTCTAAACGCTGTTTTTTTTTTTTTTGGAAATGATTCTCTCAATCGCACAGCAGGAGCCCTCTCTGTAATTAGTGACTGACTTTGAGATCCTCTCCTGTCTCCACTCATGCTACGCCATGGGATTCGAGAGGACAACAGGGGAATTCTGATGTTCTGATGGAGAGATGGAAAAGGAGAGGCAGAGAATGAGAGAGAATTCTTCTCTATGAAAATGATGTTGTCCTCCCACGCAGGAACATTGGCAGACAGTTCTTGGACAAAAGGCTTTGTCTGCTCATTAGATAAGCAGGAAAGCAGCAGGAGTCTTGCATGCTCTCTCACTTCCTCTCTTTCTCCCCTTCAAACACAAATATACATACACACATATATGCTGATGTATACACACAGAGAGTTTCACATTGATGCTACCCAACTAGCGCTCATAGAATGGCACAAACATCTCTAAATGCTGAAATGGCGCATGTACGCATAGCAAGCCTAATGCAACAATTTTAAATGGAGGGATTTTCACCAATCCCACTTCCGTTTCATTCACATTCACCTGCAGCTTGAATAATACGCTCACATCAGTATTCAACACATAGCTTGTCCCAAAATTATGCCATGCAATCAAGCTCCTTTTCTTGGTGCAGCCATCATCACGCTGCCGAGTTCAAAGCATTCGCAGAGCCTAAACTTGTCTAATACTTGTGTGTTTGGTACTTGAGCTGAGGCTGTGCCATCACTGCTGCGGCGTGGCAAAATGTAACGTGTAATGTGCAATAATCCTTTGCATTGCCATCACCAAAGCAGGGAAAAAGCGGATTGTGATGAAAAAGCGTCGTCGATGATACCTAATCCCCTCGGCAGGTGAGCAAGTCACTATTTATGGTGTGCCCTGGTTTTTACTGGAAGGAAGGTGGTGGGATACATACAAGAGGACACACAGTACACAGATGAAGCAAAAGGGGGATTTTGTATACAGGACACTGCTTTCTATTTCTTTGACTCATCCACTTCTACCCCGATCAATGTTTGCTGGAACCTATACAACCAACAATATACAGTTTGACAGGAAAGTCCAAGTCAAACTCAGATTTAGAGCTGAAACAATGAGTCAATTAATCGATAATACAATTAAGAGAAAATACATCAGCAACAGTTTTCATAATCGATTAATTGTTTTTGTCATTGTTCAAGCATCAATGCCAAATATTCACTGGCTCCAGCCTCTCAAATATGACTTCTTGTTCTGTCTTAGTGTGATAATAAAATTAAACATCTTTTTTAGGCCGTTGGTCGGAAAATAAGCTATTTGAAGACGTCACCTTTGACTCAAGAAAACCATTTCTTTACTACTTTGCCATTTCATAGGCCGTGCAGTTAATTGCAATAATAATCAGCAGATTGATCGATAATGAAAACTAATGGAAACTGCGCTCTGATTTGAGAAGCACTGCATTACAAATGGGTAATATGTTAATGAACAGTGTTCTAATTCAGAGGGAAAAAAAAGATATGATAAAAATGATAATGCAACATCTGCTGAAATTTTAGTTTTAACAGTATGACATGTTTATCACAATAAAGCCCCTAATGTAGTGAGGGCTGGGTATTGAGAACAGGAACTAAATTGGTACCACTTCCTGACTGGTCAGTACAGAAATATTGATTGATTGAAGTTCCTGGATAGGCGGCGCTGCTATCAGTATTTATGTATGTACCTGGTGTTTGAACATCCCCTAATGATGACAAAGCTGCAAAATTATATTTGACATTGCATAATTGCATGTTTATATTCTGTGCTCTCCAGGAGAAAGTGAAGGCTTGAAGGCGTGTCAAGGGGTAACACCAGTGTTGGGCAGTAACGCGTTATTAGTAACACATTACAGTAATGCCATTAGTTTTGGCAGTAACTTATACTCTTACGCGTTAGTTTTTAAATTCAGTAACTCAGTTACCGTTACCAAACTGTGCGTTACTCCATTATTTTTGGCCAGGGTTTAAAACGGCACGCAGCATGTAGTATTCCTTCACAACCTGAAGTTCCCTTTCACTAAAACATTTTAGCCCTAAACAATAAGAGATAGTCAAGTCAGATAGAGGTATATGAACAATTCTTACCAGAGCATCTTAATGAAACACTTCTCTCACCATCTCTGAAGTCACTGTCGACCTGCTGGCCTCACCACAGTGCTGTACATTAAGCGGTAGCGCTACTGTAGATTTTTAGTCCCAGTAACGTTACATCCAGTGACGTGATATCCATTGTTATCCAGAGGAAGCTCTTGTTGTGGACAGACAATGTCTGCAGTGGGCGACAGACTCAACATCATCATGTAGCTCTACAAATGTTCTCTTCAGGTCATTTTCCATATTTGTATCCAAGTACCGTAGTTGTAAAACGTTTAGCTGCCTGACAGCGAGTAACTCCACTGTAGAAGACAGTTGCATGTTTCCTATACCGTTCAGTTGTTTTGTCAAGTTGTAGTCTGACAGGTGTAACTAAAACGTTACTTTTCTCAGTAACGCATTACTTTTTGGTTTAAGTAACTGAGTCACTAACTTTTTAATGAAGTAACTAGTAACAGTAACTAGTTACTATTTTTGTCAATAACTAGCACAACACTGGGTAACACCTACAACAAATAAAATATTCTGAAGCAGTGCAGCGTTTGCCTGCTTCAGCAGAGACCTAATTTAGCGTTACCTCCTCAGTATAGCCTCCCAGCTCAGATGCTGATGGGATTTGCCAAAAATAAATAAATAAAAAAGTAATGTCTGTCTCAGCCTTTTCAAGTCAAGGCAACACTCGTTAGTTTGCATGTCTATCATAACAGCAGGACAATCGAGTGTCCGTTATCTAAACTGCTAAAGTCAGTTGAACAGGTAAGCGAGGCTACCCATTAGTTTATAGTTAACAGCATGCTAACATGCTGATGGATTTGGTGTTTCTGTGTTTGTAGCTGAGCTATACCAGAGAATCTTTGGTTAAAACAGAACGGTGATGCTGTTGAGCCTCTGTGAAGTTTGCTGGAAGTGATGTAATGTAGCGTTTTATGTGGAGTGAGCACTGTGCCAGACTTAAAAAACAGCCTTGTAAATGCTACGCTGCTTTTCAGCAACTGGTCATATGGTAACTTAAGTGGCAATTTGGCCTTGTGTGCCGTGATTAATTTGGCACACAGTTTACACGCCAGTCATAATTTTGTGTTAATGAAAACTCAACTCCTGGCATTTGCGCCTGATGTTCTTTACCACTGCTTTGGAAGAGGGAACTAACGGGAGTAACAGGTGAACCATCTTTTAAAGTGACGTAGTTTCTTTTTAAATAAGTGCTGTGCAGTGGATCTAATTCATGCTGATGTGCAGAGTGGTTCATGTGGATTTCAAAACGTAACTGATGACATTTTTGGAAGTAAGCTATAAAAAGAAACTCTACTGCACTCTACTTTAAAGTTTGAAATTTAAGAACAGAATTTGGTGTTACCAGGGAAACACTGTAAAAATATGAATTCACACAAGATATAATAAAGTAACTGTTGAATCTTGACATATCTTTTCATGCTATGTCTTTTTTTTCATGGTGAGAAGTAACAATAAGAGTATTTATAAGTATCATCAATATCAATAAAATCCTAATGATACCCATCCTTAAATGTAGCTATTGCTATTTATGTAATTCTGATATAAGACATGAAACAAAAGTACATGCTGGTGTGTGAGTGTACAAGTGTATCTGCCTGCGCGTGCACGTGCACAGTACGTTGTTGTGACAGGGCCTTACCTTGGCCGGGGTCTCCCTGGCAGTTTCTGAGTCTGACCAGCGATGTTTGAGCTGGGAGGAGCTGGGCACACACTCACAGAACGTCTGCATGGGACAAACAGACAGGGCCACCAGTGTTGGCGTTTGTTCAAGTCACATGTGCAGTCAAGCATGCAAGCACATGCGCACAAACACACACACACAGACGCATGCACGTACGAATACGCCACAGAGAGACAAGGGTTTGGGATCTGTACTTAAATAACATGAAAATCAAAACAGTGAGCGCAGCACATTTTCTTAGCCAAAGCTCTCAAATCTAATATAAAATCATTGTTGGGAGATAAATGGTGCTGGCGCTGATAAACTACAACCACCTACACACATAACTGCACACTGACATAGGCAGATCCGAACAGGCATCTGTACATCTCAAAGGTATCACTGAATTCAATAGTTTATGACAGGCTCAATGCGTCTTCCCAGGGATGGCTTTGCAAGATCCTCAGCACACAGTTTCCTCCTACTCCAAATTCAAAAAGATAAAGAATGAAAAGGAGAATTTCACTGAATGCAAGTGGGTAAAGAATGTGTGCAGCAGCAAGCATTCACATATGCAGGTGAACGTGGGTGTTTGTATACAATATCTGAACATTACATGCTTCAGTGTATGTGCCTCTTGTGCTTGTAATGTTCAGATATTGTATACAATATCTGAACATTACATGCTTCAGCGTATGTGCCTCTTGTGCTTGTATGCGTCTGGGAGTAGTTCTAGCTGCTGCACAGATAAAAGCAGAGTAATTATGAAAGTGGGGGCTTTCTAACTGCTCCAGGAGAGCACGTCGTGCCGTGACCGTAAACTCCGTTGCTCCCACTGTGGAATTGCTCAATTAGCCTGGGACAATAACACCGACACAAAAACACACACGTGGGCACACGCACACACACAAATGCCTACTTAAGAACGGATGAAGCAAACATTAGCAATTAATGTATCAGAGTGTGTTCTCTATCTGAGCGTGTTGTTTTAAGCCTTTGTGTGTGTGTGTGTGTGTGTGTGTGTGTATGTGAGTGAGACTAATTGTGCTCTTTACATTTGTTATGACACTATGTTTTAATACCATCAGCAGTAGCGTAACAAAAACAACATTAAAGCTGCATTAATCAATTTGTGACAACTAGGAAAAACATCAAAACCAAATCGATTTGATGGAGACTAACATTGGTTTGGTTTACAATTTAGCAAATAATTGTCTACTTTCACATCCAGCAGACAAAGAGCAACTTAGGGCTGGGTAATATATTGATATTGTACTGGGATATGAGACTAGATATTGTCTTAGATTTTGGATATCGTAATATCCCAAGTGTTGCCTTTTCTGGGTTTTCTGAACTCACCAGACTGTACTAGCTCTTCTAGTATTGTCCTTTGCCAGCTTAGTCCTTATTTCTACATTACTGATGATTATTTATAAAAAATTTCATTGTGTAAATATTTTGTGAAAGCAGAAATAGTGAACCCTACAGTAATGTCCTTATATCCATATTGAGGTATTTGTTCAAAAACATTGTGATATACTCCTGTCACAATAATTATGTTAGCAACTTTCCATACAATATATAGACATGACCTCAGTCATTTTGGTGACTTTGAAATTGCCCGTTGTGGTTACACCCGTGTTTGTTTACTTATGAATGTTGGTCGGGAAACCCTGCTGTTTAGTCTGGCATCATCTTGGCTTTCCCGACCAACCCTTGGTTGCAGCAGTTCTCCCTTCCTCGGCCTACTTGCATGAGTCAGAAGAAAAATAAAACCATTAAATGATGACATGGCATAGCTTACCAGAAACCTGCAGCTGCACTTTTGGAGTGGAAGAGGTAAAGTCCTGATAGGTGTTAGCTTGCCAACCCCTGGCAATGATCCATAAAGTCAGTCATGTGTAGTTTTACCCTCTAACAACCAGTGGTGCACCTAGAATTTCTTCATAGAGGTGGCCAAAAGGGTTCACCAAAAATTCTGGGGTGGCACACCAAAACCAAAGGCCATTTCTCAATTTCGGGAATTCCTTTATGCTGTTGAAGTGGAAAAGCTAGTTGAAAACTATGTCAGTGTGGAGGATTAAGGAGTCACATACTGATATACTTAAGATGCCCATAAGAATCCTGTATTAATGTGTTTTGTATCCCCATCAACATGTATTAGGCAATTTATTGTACTTCAAATAGGCTGGTTGTTCGTTTTCTTAAACTGACAAATATACTTTGATTGAAGGAGTACAGTGACTGTAAGGAACAAAACATTTACTGGGAACAAGCCTTCTCAAGCTTAGGAGAGAGCCATAGGTACCAATAGATCCCATATCATTCAGAGGTCTTAAGGTGAGAGTTCAAGGGACATGTTTGAAAATGGCCATGCCACTTCTTCTTCCTTTGCCAAAATTTAACATAACTTTGGAGCGTTAGCTATGAAGACCTAGTTGGTAACAAGGGATGCTTTAAGTTGTGCAGTTTGACAAGAAGCCACTACCTTTGCCTGAGGGGCTAGAGGGCCACCAAATGTACCAAGAGGCCACGGTCCCCCTTAGGAGCGCCACTGGAAGAACTTGATCCTCCACTCCATAAATCAACCAACAGACCACTCAGTTGTCAGGCTGTCTATCTCGACAGCAAACCAGCCATTTTATGGAGGCAACTGCAGTGTTCCTGGAGTCTCGCTTAGCTTGTCTATCAGTTGCAAGAGGAATCACTTGGTTTTGTTTTTATTGGCCATTGCATCATGTCTAAACTAAGTAGGGCCACTCCTATAAAAGTACTTTAATTCTATACTGTCTTGTATATATTAACAGGTGTTTTTTTTTTTTTTTTTTTTTTTTTAAAGATGGTCAGTTGTTTCATATTTTGATTCCATTTTCTAAATACTCTTAAGACTTAAAATGTTTATCTTACTTTGAAAGGGTCTACTTGCATTCGTATGCTATTTTATTGTCATTATATCAGTGGCATAAAACGACAATCATGTTGTTTATACCAATCACTTCCAGGACAATATATCGTCCAAAAAAGTAGCTATGGTGAGAGGCCTTCTGTGATATTTGATTTTCTCCATATTACCCAACTTTGGAGCAACTCCAGCACTTATTTGAGACTCCAGCATTGACTTGTGTTTATGTCTACCTGACGAAATGCAAGTTCAATATTCACTCTCTTTTTACCTCTGTTTCGGTCTCTGACAACACTTGAGAAAAATAGCTGGCTTTTTTAGCCGGTAATTGCTCCGCTTTCTTTACCCAGTTAGCCACTTTTCTCTGACTGCCATTGGTTGTCTTTGTGTATGTTCTGGCAGTTGTCAGTGTGTGTGAATTGCTGTGTATGCGGCTCACACAGACATTGTTATGATGGCTGACCAATAGTTCACCTCTAAGCTCTAAGCATTCTCTTCCAATGTGTACTACAGCGAGTGAGGGGGGGGAAAAAGACGGCAGCAATAGAGAGGAAAGTAAAGGGGGAGTGAGGAAGAGATGGAGGGAGATTTGGGAGAGGTGCACTGAATTCTAATGAGCAGCCTTAGGGTCAGCGATAGAAATCTGTCTGTTCTGCCTAAAACATTGCAGCTGTCTGTGCTTGCCGTACACAGAAGAGCTACAGAGCTACCATTACTAAATAAACACAGACTCCACAGTGATACGGCTAAACAAACTAACAAGTCAGCTCCGCAGTAAAGTAAATTGGAATGAATTCCTATGTTAAAAACCCACAAATAAAAATAGATGCGTACGTTTACGCCGTTGCAGAAGTTCACAGGTGTGCGTGTGCACCAATACAAATATGGACACAAAGGCATACTCTCGCTTCGTTGCAGACGGGCCAGGAGAGATAGAAAAACACGCACTCACGTATGAACACATGCACACAGAACAAAGGTTGTGTGTTGCAGCTGCAACCCACTCAGATCCCTGACACAGTCTTCCCATTACACCGAGCAGCACGTATCAGAGCTTTAGTTTGTTCATCCCCCTGCCTGCTAATGCTCACATCGGGGTTCTTTGCTGCCTGTGCACACAAACATGCACACACGCACACACGGTGACACCGCAATATCTGTGGGGCTTCTTGTTGGCAGTGGTCCCGGTGTGGGCACGACTGCTTGGCAGTGTTTGTCTAGTCCTAATCTCACTCCACGAGCTCCACCAGCGGAGAGGATTTACACTTAATAGAATATTTGGGCTTTTTATTGGTTGGACCTTACACGCAGAATCCTATCTGATGGGCCACGTCTTAGAAGACAGGAAGGGCTCAGACTTATCCTGCGTGTGACTGAATGTGTACGTGCTGTCTTTAACAATGAGTGTGCCTACGTGTTTGCATGAGTGTATTCGAGGACATATATCTTCAAGGCAAGAATCCCTTCAGCTATCTAAGAATGCTTGGATTGTTGAAAGGTGTTGTTCTTGGGATATACTTGTTCACTTTTCTGAATACCTTTACCTGTGTCTGTATGTCTATAGGTGTGTGTGTGTGCGCGTGCGACAGGGACTTTAGCAAGGTGTGTTTAAACCTCACTGCTCACTAAGCCGATGGAGTGGAAGAGGCTTTGCATATATTCACTCGTGGGCTTACTAATCATTTAACGGGACTTGCAGACTGCTAAATGAAGGGACTGAGACTGACAGAATGATGGGAGAAAAAAAGGATTGAAAAAAGGGGGAGCAGGAAGCAGAATTAAAAGCATATTGTGCACACAGTTCATCAGTGGTAGCCTACATATAGGAGATTATCTTCCTAACTATGTATTGTCTGTATTGCTACGCCTTCTCAAAGCCATTAAAAATGAGAGGGGTTAATAGTGAATGAATAGATAAATGAACAGTCTGTGACACCCTGACTAAACCCTGAGAATAAATGCCGAGGATTTCCCGCCTGCCATTAGAAATTAAGAAGCCATTCAGATAAATGATGTAACATCTTTAAATTCACAAGTCACACAAGGCTTCATCTTACCCCAGCATTGCACTGAGATTACTCAATACAGGCATGAGGTGCTATTTTTAAAAAGCTATTGTTCTCTTGAAAAAAAAAAATAAATCCAACCCCTAGCCTGTGAA